GAGAACTTAAAAGAAAAACTAAAAGAATTTGAGGGAGAGAAGGGAGAGGAGCTCTAGAAAAGTGTAAGGAGCTCTAGAGAGGTGTTTGAGAGCTCCCCCCCTCCCCCTTGGGGTGTGTTTGAGAAGATATTTTGAGGAAGAGATGGGAGATAAGCTCTAGAGAGGTGTTTGAGAACTCCCCACTTGGCGTGTGTTTGAAAGCTTGGGGAACCTCACTATTTATAGGCTTAAGAGAAGTCAGAATTTGAATTGAGTATTGCTTCTACCTACAACACCCACTTCACCAACTTTACCTAATTTCCCCATAAAAAACAATTAGCTCATGTATATGTCATGCATAACAATACATTGCAGTTTGCTTGTAGGCTCATTTTGGGCTTGTTCCTTCATTCATAAAATTCTGGAAAATATGGATCTTGAAGCTCTTTGTCTTATCTTTCCAATTATATGTAGCCCAGCTCAAGGAAAAATTAGAAAGGCCTTCAAATATCATTTTTGGCACAGTAACGCAGATGCTGTTGAATTTCACCTTAAGCTGCCAAAACTTGAATAACTTCCTTTGGAAGACTCGAAATCGTAAACCGTAAAATATTCCAGAAACTAGACTTCCACATCTTTCCAATGGTGTATGGCCCATTAGCTGGTTCTTCTTGAGCATGTACAGTTTAATCCGTGAAGTTGACTAATCTGCAGACACACTTTTGAGTTAACTTGACTCCAAAATGCATTAAATGAGTCTCATAGCTTAATACATTGAAACAAACACAAAAGAGATTAAAATCACAAATTTAACTAAAAAAACATAATGAAATCATAAGCTAAAAGGATACAAAATTATATACAATTATGCACTGATCAGTTTTGTCGTTAGGGTTTCCGTCACATCTCTCTGGTAGTTGCCTACGTGGCACTGTGAGTTCCACATCCAAAATAATAATAATTTCGCTCTCTCTCTCTCTCTCTCTCTCTCTCTCGCTCCCTCTCTCTCTCTCTCTCTCTCTCTCTCTCTCTCTCTCTCTCTCTCTCTCCTTTATTAACTCTTCCACCTCTCTTCAAGTCCTTCAACTTTTTGATAATCCTTCAAATTCTTCAGTGTTTTATTGGATAGTCAATAACAACAACCTTATATATATTGAATTAGATGGAAATGATTTACAAGGTCCGATCCTAGATGTTTTCACAAACATGGTTTTTCTATTGGATAGCCAATAGCAACCAACTTCCACCCTAGTGCTCCCTTCCTCCAAAAGAACCTAGAACCCAAAAAAAAATCGCGATTTTCTTCGACAGATGGAAAACACATCTCTAATTGCCTTAGAGGAATTTTTCATATAATGTACAGAAGAACAAGGTCCAATCCCAGCATTTAAAAGAGAAACAAAATCTAAAAGAACAAAGAACCCAGAACCCTAGCCTGCAATGAACTCAGAACCCAGCTCACCGACCACTCTCTCTCCATCCTACAAACCTTGTTGCCACTGTTAGTTGGGGCTTTCCGGCGAGATCTGCCGGTCTTCATCTCTCTCTCTGCAAATTCAAAAACCAACAAATTGGAGAGAAAAAAGAATTTCAAACTTTGTTTGCATAAGTGGGTGGGTTTGAGGGTTTGTGGGTGAAAAACATAATGTGGGAGGAAGGGGTAGGGCTCTATGGGGTGGTCTCTCGACAACAAAGGGAAATCCGGAGGAGAGGGGGGTGGCAACTAACAAAGAGATTTGTCGAAAACTCTAACGGCGGAACCACATTGTAACAAATTTAAAAGACCGAGATATGTGATGGTTAAAATTGAGAAGATATGAATTAGAAATTCTATTTTTAAACCCCACACTTCTCTTAGTTCACCTCAATACTTAAATAATTAAGCTGTAAGTTTTATTATTGTGTAAAAAGACAAAAAAAGGTCATCCAACTTAATACTTAACCCTAGTCAGGGCCGGTCATGAGTTTTCAAAGGCCCAGGGTGAAAATCTAAAGTGTGACCTACACACATTAATCACTAATACTAGTATACTTCTTGTTTTATCAACTAAGCATTGGGTTTTTTGAGAAAGTATTTATTTGAAAATATTTTTAGACTTTGAGCAATGTCTTCCATATTCCTAAATAATGAAAACAAATGTCCAACTATGGATACCATACCAACAAGTCAAAGAATTTCAAGAATGCAAGTCAAGCCAATATCAAAGAATTTCTTTTAAAACTCTCGTCATGGATCCTTTGTTCCAAAATTTCATATTCATCTCAATATCATATTCCTAAAAATTATGGAAAAATATTGAATCAATTTATAATAATATAATATAACACTTATTATAATAAAAAAATTTGGGGCTCCCTTGAATAATGGGCCCAGGGCAGTCGACTGCCCCTGGGCAGGGCCGGGACAGACCTTAGTACATCTATACACACACCCCACACACCCCATAACTCTTCAAATTAAATTTTAGAAAAATACAAACTCTTCTATATTATGTTCTTTGAACTGAAATTCATTCCTTCCATGATAACTGAAATGACCTGTGTTGCTATCAAAATCTTGACTTGCTTGTTGTCATAGAGCAATAGACTGATCAGATGTGGTCTCACCTGAATTACCAGTATATTTTTCAAAATCATTATTCATCCCTTTTGTCCCATTGCCATGATTAACGTCTAGTGATCCAGCAAACCCAAAACCGCCATAGCTCTTATATAAAATTGCAACACTAGTTCTTCGAATAAACATTAAGCTAATGACATGCTTCTGAGGTCTTGTCAGTTGTTCTCAAGGTACATGTACAACCTTTCATTCATTGCATGTTTTTGGTAAGAATTGAAGCATTAAAATAATAACAAAAAAAAGTTACTTTGAACAGGTAACTTAAGAAAGAACTTACCTCGTGTATATGCAATCTCCACATAACTGCCCTTGGACCAAGTCACATTTGCAGCAATGTGTATGCTGGCCAAGAGTTTTCTGCCTGCAAGGAAGTAAGTCATCTCTAAGCATAGTTTACCAAGTGAAAGGACACCTTTAATTAACAAATAAAAAGTAAGCTCAAATAACCCATGATGAATGTATTGCGCGATTAAACAATGAAACCAGTACAACAGTAACTTTAGGCACTTTTTCTATACTCTTGAGAAGGTACCATCTTTCATTCAGTTATAAATCATATGTATGAGCTACGTCAATCATCATTAACTCTTGAAATAATTTTCTAATTTAGATTCAGAAAATAAATTACTTTGAGTATAAAAGATTAATACATGCACGAATAAGAATGCTGCCACAACGAACCAATGCACTGCAAAACTCAAGGAAGAATAGGAAGCAACAACAATTTATATCAGTTCGAAACTTGAAGGAATTCTTTCAAGGACAATTATTCAAATGTCAAACAAGCTACGTGAAGTTTTTCAGTGTAAACATGAATGGGCTAAGCTTGCGGACTTGAGAGTTAAATTGTATGTTTATGCACTTGAAAACAGACAATGAATAAGACTCTGAAATATCATCAAAAAATTAATTTAATACTTACTATTTCTCATGCTCAGAACATATTTTCTCCTCTAAATAGAGCCGGTCCTGGGTTTTCCAAGGCCCATGGCAAATTTCTAGAGAGTGCCCTTTTAGACAAATTAAAAACTAAAATTACAAATTTTTTTTTTATCAACAAATTGATTTTATTAGGTAACATTTTTTAATTTTTATAAAAACAATAATAATAAAACTAATGAACAAAGAATAATAAAATTTAGATTTTGAGCATATTTTTCTTCAACTCGAAACTTCAAATTTCCAATTGTGAAGAACAAGAATCTCTGTTGAGTTTTTTGCTAAATCAAATAAAAAGAAAAATAAGTTAACAAAGATGTCTCTTACAAAAATCCTATTATACATCTATTTATAAAAAAGAATGACACAAAGAAAAGACCTTCAAATTGCTAAAGCTTCCAATGTGTGTTGCTGCCACTACCATGTCTTTTTTTTGGTTAAGTTAAAAACGTTTGTTTGGTTTTTTTTTTTTTTTTTGGGTTAAGAACTCTTTGTTTCCATATGTTTAGTTTCATTAATTTTTGTTTTTTGAAATATTATATTATATAATTTATATTTAGTTTCCTAGAGAATCTCAAAGAGGTTTGTGCTGTCAGCCTGCCATGATTAATTATTACGTTTACTTCCTTGTAGGACACTAATGGTTTTGGGTTTAGTTTTTATTAAATGTAAATATATAGGCTAAAAAACCATATTTTTGTGCCCCCCACAATTTTGGGCCCTGGGCTATGGCCCTGGTCGCCTTGGGCCAGGGCCGGCTCTGCCTCTAAAGATAGCTTGTGGGGTTTAAATAGAAAATCTCTTTTATTTCTTATTTTTTCAGCTTGGGGTGTATTTAAGGGTAATTTGGGAAGATAGTGGGATTTACTTAGAAATTGTGAAAATTTAAATTAAAAGTTGGGGTGAACTTAGAACATGGGGTGAATTAAGAGAAGTATGAGATTTAAATAGAAAATCTTTATGAATTAACATATCTTAAAGATGTAATCACATAATACTAGACTGTAATGAACTCAATATAAAATGTGTGCGATGAATTTATGTTGGTGGGAGTAATTTAGGAATACGTGATTAGAGTAGTGAATAAATTTAAATTTCACTCAAATTTTATGTGTGTGAATAGTGTGGGGTAAAATAAAAAAGGGAGTTTCACTAAAACACCAAAAATGAGAGCTTAAATTATAAAAAAACTCAACACTCAAAACACTTTATAAACACACCCAAAATCCATCATTACACACACTCAAAACTCATTTATAAACACACCCAAAAAATATACAATTATTGATTTTGGGGTTGATTTTGGGTGTGTTTTTATGTTTAAATAGTATTTGGGTTTTTTTATAAATACATGTCTAGGATTGGGTTTATTTATAAATTTGTAAATAAAAAATTGTTAGGTTCAAATAAAATGACTCAAATTACCCATCTCAAATTCAATTTGGCTTACTTTAATCTCCCCACTCTGCACCGAGTTCGAATCCCTCCCGTAATTTAGATGTTTGTGGCGCTCACAACACTCAAAATTTCGTCGCTCATCCTCCGCTTCGCACCCCTAAAGCAGCCGTGCATCGGCAGCCCTGTTTGCGTGACGAGGAGTCCACGGCCCCTTGCAGCATTTAGGGTTTGGTCATATTTGGATCAAACCTTTGAAATTTCCTTAAAATGATGACCCTTTCTTCAATCTCTCGGTTCATGTCCTCCTCAGTTGGCCTCAAAAGTCACAAATTCTCAATCTTGCGGTTCTCTTCTGCCTCAGATGGGGAGACAGTCTACAATCGGCTGCAGGAAAATGGTGGCAACATTGAGAAAACCCTTTCATCAATCAATGTCCAATTGGACTCCAAATGTGTAAGCCAGGTCTTAAAGAGATGCTATCCTAGCCAATCCCAAATGGGTCTTAGGTTTTTCATATGGGCTGGTCTTCACTCCAGTTATAGGCATAGCTATTTTATGTACAGCAAAGCTTGTGAACTGTGTGAGATTAAGCTAAACCCAAGTGTGATTTTTGATGTTTTGGAAGCTTATAGAATTGAAGGGCGCTTTGTTAGTCTTAAGGCATTTAAGGTTGTCTTTAATTTATGTAAAGAAGCTAAGCTTGCCGATGAAGCTTTGATGGTATTAAGGAAAATACCGGATTTTGGTTTACGTCCAGATACTACTGTGTATAATGTTGTTATAAGGTTGTTTTGCGATAAAGGTGATATGAATATGGCTGAAAGTTTGGTGAAAGAGATGGGCTTGGTGGATCTTTTGCCCGATTTGATCACGTACATGGTAATGATTAATGGGTTTTGTAAGGTGGGTCGGTTAGATGATGCTTGTGGGTTGTTTAAGGTTATGAAGAGACATGGTTGTTTGCCTAATGCTGTGGTGTACTCGGCACTTCTTGATGGGTTTTGTAGGTCTGATAAAATGGAGAGAGCTTTGGAGTTATTGACTGAGATGGAGAAGGAAGGTGGGGATTGTAGCCCTAATGTAGTAACATATACGTCTGTGATTCAAAAGCTTTGTGACAAGGGTCGGTCGAAGGAGGCGTTGGTTATTTTGGACCGAATGGAAGCTTGTGGATGTGCCCCAAGTCGCGTTACGGTGAGTGCTCTAATTAAGAGTTTTTGTGTGGAGGATCAAGTTGAAGAGGCTTATAAACTGATTGATAGAGTTGTTGCGGGACGTAGTGTTACATATAGTGATTGCTATAGCTCTCTTGTTGTGTCTTTGGCAAGAGGTAGAAAACCTGAAGAGGCAGAGAAGGTCTTGAGGATGATGCTTGATAGTGGGGTGAAACCAAATAGTTTGGTGTGTAGCATTATGTTAAAAAATATTTGTTTGGAAGGACGGGTGATAGATGGAATTTGTTTGTTTGATGAACTTGAGAAGATGGAATGCTTGTCTTCCATTGACTCTGATACTTACTCAATTCTTTTAGTGGGCCTTTGTGAACAAAGGCATTTAGTGGAGGCTACAAAGCTGGCAAGGCTAATGCTAAAGAAAGGAATTCAGCTGAAAGCTCCTTATGTTGACAGTATAGCTGAGATCCTGAAGAAATCCGGAGATGAGGAATTAGTTAAGCATGTGAGTAGAATTGCATTTTGAAGTTGAACAAAAGACAATGCTCACCTGTTTTTATGGCTTTTCCGTGCTTACCTGGAATTGGGTTCTTCTACTAAGCTCAAAGTCTCGAACCAAGTAGAAAACAATCATTGAGTTAAGTTGGTAGGTGTGGAAGAAGGGAATTCATGCCCTGGAAATACAATTTTGGTAGCAGAAGCACTCTTGGTTCGGAAACAGGTTTATTGGTGCAGGGGCTCATGCGCTGTTTTACCCGACTCTGCTTTACAATGTCATTGGGAATAAGCTTTAGGCTGAGTTTCTGTGGTGGGACAAGGTCGATGAGGTACAAATATAATTTTATCAAGCCCGTTTATGCTTATATTTGTTTGTTATATATATAATTTGTTTAGGTGTCGGGTTCATTTTGAATTCTGATTTTGATTGGATAGCTTGTGAAAGTGACTGGAATCTTTTTCTCCTTTTCTTTTATTTTTATTTTTTTTAATGTGGGTGTTTATCCTTTTTCTGCAGCTGTGAATTAATTTGCAATTTTTGTTTATGTTTTGTTTTGATCTCAGTTAATTATAGATGTAAATGCGATGCAGTTAACTATATTAAATGAAAGAAATTTATTGAGTTTGCATGTGGAGTTCGATGGAGTCATCACACTTAATGAGCCATACAGGACTTTGGTTCCAACGTCTTTATATCATGTTAGTGGTTTCCTAGATTTGCATTCTCAGAGTTTGCATGGTTGGAAACCAATACATTTTTCCTTCAAAAGAAATATTTTTGCTGCTCAGAGTTTATATATGTATATATATTTTGAATGACATATTTAGGGCCTGTGTGGCAATGCCTTTATAAGTGCTAAAAATACTTTCTGATAGCCAAAAGAGCTTTTGGCAATGCTTGATAGAAAAGGTTAGAAGTGCTTCTAGGTTAGTGCTTTATGTGCTTCCCCCAGGAAGTGCTTGCAAGTGCATTTTCAGGAGTCACTTGATTTTTTAGTAAAAGTTTGTTGTGCTTCTAACAAAAGTGCTTCTCAGTAGAAGAAGCATTCCCAAAATGGCATAAATATCTGACAGGATTAGCTGGTGCTTTGCCATACTATTGTATGTATTAATACGTGAATGCTCTGGATTAAAATTGACCTTAAAATTGACTTGGGTCATGTCTATACTTGACTAGAACTTCTGCATTTTTGTTTTGTTTTGTTTTGTTTTGTTTTTTTACGTTATTTTTTGGGCTCTAATCTAACCATTAAACTTTTGGTGGTGCCGCGGAAGTAACCATCTGGTGATTCCTACAAGAGATTACTGCTTTGCACCCTCACTGAGTGATACTTGTTGTGCTGTAGACTTCATTCATGGTAAGCATTTTTGCATCTTTGATTTGATTATGTTGAATAGCATCTGATATTTCACGATTTAGCATTAACTAGGCTCTATGTACCTAGAACATTCTGTTCTTGACTAGATACAACTGACATGAGTCAATTTGGATGGTTAGAATATCTTGGACCATCTAGACTGCTCATGTTTTTTTTTTTTTTTTTTGGGGGATGAACTTTTAGAATCCTCGATAGATATTTTTTGTTGAAATCTTTGTGTCATTTCCGGACTGCATGGTGGAATTTTATTTTGAGGGTACAAAAAATCATTTAATTGGATCTACTGAGATGAAAACTTTGTCATCTGCTACCTGGTTAGTACTAAACTCTGAAAATAACAAATTACTTGAAGCAGATGACACCTGATTCTGCCTATGAATGAATATCTGAAGTCAATTTGTCCAAGGTTGCTTTTAGCCTCTTCTCAGTGGCAGGTAACTTAAGAAACTCAATGTGATTTGTAATGACATTGTGGGCTCATTCGCCCTGCCTATGAATATCTGGTGTTCAAAACCCTGGAAGTTTAGTTCAATTTTCTTTCTTGTGGGAATTTTGGTGTTTTTTTTAGGTGATTCTAATTCGTATTTGATTTATGTTTACTGGTTTAGTTATTAATTTGCAATTTGTTTTTTCTGTTGTGCGTCTATGCATGTGATGAAGAATAGTGGATAAGTTTTCTCTGCATTTGGCAGTAATAATCTATGAGTTTAATATCCTTGTTTGTCTGATTATCTTGGCTATGCAAAAAAGTATTATTTCTGAATGATCTGCAGACATTGAATTCCCAAACAGTCAAGGCACCAATGCTTTAATTTAATTTTCTCGATTCATTTGTTAATGGTGGATTCAGAAATGTTGTGAAGGAGAACACTGAAGATTTACGGAAGGCAACTGAACCAGAAGCTGAGGTTGTACATGAACCAGCTGTGGGAGAAAATAAGACAAATGCTGGTGAGACTGAAAATGAAGATATAACAAAGATAAGAAAAAAGGAAAATGTAGATCCAAGTACGGAAGGTACCTTTTTGAGCACCCAAACAGTGTGAGGGCCAATTACGTTCTGACTCACAATGCTGAACTTGAATCTTGCGTAAGAAGGGATACTCCCAAGAACCCCTGGACTAAGGATCAAACCTGCCTGCATGCAATTTACAGATATAGACACGTTAGCATACCAGCATTTGAGAGACAAAGACGGGAATTCCAAAACACCTGAGAATGTGATGAAGGATTTGGGTGGTGAAAAAAGCCAAACCCATTTGCCTTTCGAGGACTGGAAATGTAGAACTTCCGTCTCCACCCACCAGACACAGCACCACCATCAGTCCAAATACCGGCAGAGTGAACTCTGGGAGGGATTTCCACGCGAACAAGGGCCATATTATCCTCCGTTTCGTTTAACCACAATACTTGTGAAAGACTCTTCATGATTTGAATTCTCTCTCTATTTCTTATATATTAAATCGTACAGATATGTAATATATATTCTAGCTCGCTAGAGATCAGTTTTGTTAGTTTTCATGACCAGCTTTGATCAGTTCTCACAAACGGTGGCATTCTTGTTGTATTAAACACTCCAAACTCGCTTCAATCTATTGTTAATTGGTAGTATCAACATAACATAAACATCCTCCGATACGTATGTATGTATGTGAGAGAATAATCAACGGTTTCAACTAACAACCACCGCATGGCTGTTAAAAAAACAAGAAGTAGTGCCTCTGCCTGTGCTCTTCAATTTATAATATTCATTAAATAGTTATTCACTAATGTCTTGATTGCCAAAGGTTGCTCCGAATTCTCCTTCAAAACAAAAACACGATGCCATGTAATGTAACAGAGAAACAGGAGGTGAGGTGAGGACCTGCCGAGGCGAGCGAGCTTGTCAGTGTCAGAGTGGTGGCTTCACTAGTGACTGGATTTCCCCGTATCTTACTAGGAGAAGTTGCTTTTATTTGTATCCCGAAAGAAGCAGAGATTAAACTGTGTTAATAATATTTTGTTATTTACTTTCCTTTTCCCACAAGGAAGCTAGGTGGAATTTAGAAAGCCAAAATATTATTTTCTCCTTATTGCATTTGGAAAGTTTCCCTATAAATTCAGTTCAGACATGTTGGTGGTGAACTAACAAGTGTAATTTCACTTCCCTTCATTCTTGAAAGTTGCTTTGCGAATCAAGCACACACCGATCATCATGGAGGCTTCAAGTCCTTCTGCTTCGTCCAGAAAAAGAAAAACAAGACAAACCCCCATGCCACGAATTGTCCTTGCTCTCGCTGCTCCCAATAGCAACCCCGCCGACAACAATGCCATCGAACGCACCGTTTGGTCCACGAAACCCCGAAGTAATTGCAGCGGCCGGAGGAGAAAACAAGAGGCGGCGGCAGCCCAGCAAGAACATGAACGCCAACTCCGTATTCCCACCACCAAACGCACCGCTTCATCCCCTAAAATCCAAAGCAATTACAGCCTAAGGCCAACAGCTCACGGAGGCCGGAAGACAGCGCCTCAAGAACAAGAACATGAAGAAAAGAAGGGAAGGTTGAGGGTGGTTCGGATCCGGATATTGGACCCGGATGAGACGGAGTCTTCTACCGACACCGGAGAAACTAATGTAGCCGTTAACCAAAAACCCAAGAAAAAGAAAGTTGAAATAGTGCACGAGATTCGGATGCTGGAGAGAAACTCTCCTTGTCCAAAAAAACTTGAGACGCAAGAAACAAGCAAGAAGAACTATATTGGCAAGAAGAATAAGCAAATTTGTTTGTCATCTCGATCGTCATCACCATCTTGTAACGTTGAAGGGCGTGAAGATGAAGAAATACTAAAAGGATCATCAACAACATCATCAGTTGTGCAAATGGCAGTTAGAAAGATGGCTCTTTACGACGTGCCGGGTCCAATTCCTGACCTGGAAGAATTTTTGAAATGGGATTATGACCTTCACTTTTTGCTTACTTTCTTTGATGATTTGCCGTCAGACTCCGACTGTGAAGATTATTGAGCACGATCAACCAAGTTCATTTCAAACTTTATCCACGATTTTTTTGTATTTTTAACACAACTTATTAGGCATGATTATTAGGTACAAATTTTTGTACAGTCCACCACGATCCCAATGCTTGTAATTGATTTTATGAAAATTCTATTGGAAGAAATTGAAGTGATGAATTACATTTCCTATATTATGAATAATGTGCCAAGCATTCACCTCCTTTGTTTGTTTTTTTTTTTTTTTGGTGAAGCTTATGCTGGAAACATTACTGTAGTCTCTGATAGTGTTGCTGGGTTTGCAATGTGTTTATTCCTTAAAATGTGCTTATAAAAAGTAATGTCACATCAATTACCTTTGAGCTTGTTGACATGACATGTGACATATCATGGCTGTCTGAACTCTGCCTGGTTTGCTAGTTATAACCAACGCGATTGCTTTTGTCTTTCATTAAGAAATTTCAATGTACTTTGATGAATCAAAAAAAGAAATTTTCCCTTATACATGAATTGTTGTTTTATTTCTAAAGCAGTTAAGTATAACCTGAGCTATCAGTGGAGAACTGATTGGACACCTCCAATGGATTGATATTTCATTGGTCTAATGTTGGAGCAAGTTCGCATTCGAAGTATGGTTAACTATAAATTCAGCAGACCAGCCTGGACTGATATGGTTTCAAAGTGCAGAGCAGAATTTGGTTCCCACCATGACAAAAATGTTTTGAAAAGTCGTTTTTATTTATTTATAAATTTGAGGAAACAATTCAATGGCATGAAAACTCTACTTGACCGGAGTGGGTTTGCTCGGGATGAAATGCAACAGATGGTGACTGCTGATGATGCTTATGTCAAGGTGTGTCTTTTGTTGAATTGTTGATTTGCATAAGAATTGTATGTCTATAGCAGGCTAACAGCTCACATGTTCTTGTGCAGGAACACCCTGATGCACGATCATACCGCAATCGAACTCTCCCAAATTGCAATGATTTGTACTTGATATGTGGAAATGGAGACCATTTTAAAAGGGAGAGTACTTCGAGTCACACTATGGATGACATGGATGATGATCTGGGAGTTAATCTTGGTGCGTGGCCCTCTCTCCCTTTCTCACAATGCCATAGGTGTATTCTGCTCGACTCTCTGATTATTGCAATGGAATGAATTTATTATAAATGTTTTAGGATGTCAGAAACTTTCTCAATACGAACTTGTTTTGCAGGGGATGAAACTCAGCAAACAATATCAAGGTGCGTGTTTTTCTCACTAGTTGCTGCCTAGGACAAAAGGAGTTTCCAATTTCTAGTACTAACTACAGCATCTTCAACATTTGAGGAGGGAAGCAATATGATGCATCCGCAAGTTTTGTATGTGTGCATGTTGAATGAACTTGTTGGTAAAGTATGCTATCCCTTTGCATGAAGTGAACCCTTAGTAGCTTTGGGTTCAGGAGACACTTTCGTGATTTGGTGACATGCGTTTCTTTCATGTAAATATGATATTTTGCATGAGCATCCACATCCAGTTGCATGTGCAAGTAGAATCTTGGACAGAACTTATAATGATTTGACTAAAATATACGGCAACCGAGCCCCTGATGGAAGATCAAGTTGTTTCGGTAGGAAAATGGAGAAAATGGGGATCAATATGATGTTTGGTGATTCCCCAGCCATGGAGTATGAAATATCTGATCTGCAAAAGAAGCGAAAATCAGCAGCTTCATCCACCTCAGCTAGTAAAAGAGCTCAAAGAATCATCAGAGGAGATACAAGAACCCTTGGATGAGAAACCACATATAGTAAAAGGGTTGGTTGGCGATGAAGAAGACAAAGACTGCCGCTCAATAGAACGCATTGTTGCTTCACTTGAAACTGTACCTGGCACGGATGATGAGCTCTTCTTGGAAGCTTCTCTAATTCTCGAAGATGATAAGAAAGCCAAGATGTTTGTGGCAATGGATGTTGCAGCTCGAAAGAAGTGGCTATACAGAAAACTTCCCCAGTAGCATCTAAGTAGCTCGTTAGTATGCAAGTGTAGTTTCGATATGCTTATCATCCTTGTGCTTTTTTCCTCATGTAAATTACATACATGGAAAGAGTTTCCCTCTACATAATGTAATTCCCTTGTGTATATCAGTAAGTTTTGAGATGGGCTTTTTCCCTGCTATTGAACAAGAAAGCCAAAGCTTTCTCTTCTCTTTTTTATTTATTTATAGCAATTAACCTCAACAAATGCTAATTTGCAACCGGATTATCTCCACACTATTATGAGTTTAGGTTTTGAAGCTTACAAAGTTGTAAATCAAATTTCATACATACCAAGAACTGCAATACGTATTAACAATAATTTCATACTTAAAAGTAAAACAATAAATGAAGTTACTGATCAATTAAAGAAAACAAAATTACCCAGATCAAGACAAAAAAAGGAAAGAAAAAACTACTGTGTCATTCTTCTCTGATGAAGTAGAATTACTGACTATTCTGTGAACCGCGTAAAGATCAAGGTGGTTGCCAAAAGTTGGATCCAAATTCCACTCTGTGAACTGGGGAGAGCCAAAACAAACAGACACAGAGATGGAGACAGTGTCACGACCTTGACAAAAGATTGGTGCTTTTACTAAATGGCATGGCCATCTCATCCTCTTCTTTTAGAATTTGCTTTCTCTCGCTCGCGCTCCTCTCTACCTTCTTCTTATCCCATATATAAACTTGATTCAAGACATAGCCCAAAATAGAGTACCCCAACGTTGGAAGTAACTACTCCAAAAGTAACCTTACCCCTACGATAAAAGTTTTCCAAACAGGATTCCACTGAAAATAATAGCACCAAACCACTTGTTCGACACAAATCTGGAACCAAAACAAGAGCAAATGCTGAGGCAAGCTGATCATGTTCAAGGCAAAACAAAGCAAAGAAATCCTAAACCTAAATGAGCTTTTCCTTCCCTAGTGTATGAAACCCTCCAACTTATATTTTTTTCAATACTTACCTTTTTTGTTTCTCTTTGATTGGAGAAATATGCAGTATGGCAAAATTAACATTGATGCAATACGCATATTTAATCTCTATGATTACTTGAAATCAAGATCATATCACGAAAAATACGCACTTTCTGTTGCAATCAACCCGGGATGAAAGGTCAGCAGTCCATATCTGCCAAGCTAATTGTCCAGATGCAGCCCCCAAAAATGCATAGTATGGCCACCCTGCTCCATAGTTGAAAGATTGGTGTGAGGATGTGGCAGAAGGAAAAAGAATTGGATTGAAGTTCCAATAACAGTAAAAGAAAAAATTATAAAAATAAAACAAAAATAAAATAAAAATAAAGGAGGAAACAAAACCGATTTCAGCATTATATCCACTGAGGGCAAGACTGCTGCTGCACATAATTCCAAACCCAGTAATCCACTCCTTAGTTGAATCACCAAATCTCAATGCAGTCGACTTAACACCTACTTTCAGATCATCTTCCTTGTCCTGCAAGTATAGTCAGGAACATAATTTGTTGGATTGCATTGAAATAGTTCTCTTATTCCTACATATTCCACAGTTTCATCACACTCAAATCTTGGAAACTACAACTTCTGACCATGTGAGTACTACAGTGACATATTTGC